AGAGAGAGAGAGAGAGAGAGAGAGAGAGAGAGAGAAAGAGAGAGAGAGAGAGAGAGAGAGAGAGAGAGGGGGGGAGAAAAACAGGACCCACTCCTCTGGAATTGGAGGAGTGAGTCCGAATCCTGTTGAAATGACACATCAGAAGGCCAATCTTATGAGTCTTTGGTCCATAGGAGTAATAGTCCTGGGTCGATTGGATAAGTACCGCATCCTCTTTCCATACAGAATCTTGGTTCTTCATTCTTGCTTCACACCAAACAGCGGGCGGCATCGCCTGGCTTTTCACAAGACATCCTAAAAATTCAAGTGTGCCATTCCTATCGTCAGTTCGGACAAGTGTCAGGTTCCTGTTGTAAACAGAAAGAAATTTCAAAAAGGTCTCTTTTGCTCTGGTAATGAAGTCGTCGGAGACTCGAGGCAGTATAAGAAAGAGCGCGACATCATCTACCAATCTTAAGCCAGAAATCAGTTTCCTATCTAGTCCCAATGAGCTAAGGAAAGAAAACTCATGGAAGGCAGAGAGGAGGCAGGCAAGAGCAGGGCTCGAGCTCTTCCCCATGGGAATGTTGATAACTTGACTGATGATAAGGTTGGAGACCCTAGAGAAAGTGTGATCTAGATCAAATTTCACAAAATCAACTATCCCTGAGAACGTTAGACGGGCCCATCCTTTCTCACCATATCCTTTGCCCAACACAGCCCCTCTACCCATCTTATTAATTATGATAGCTCTGTAGCCTTTCCCCACAAAATATCCACACAGCCATTCTACGACTGCAACAATATCATCATGCGTTAATTTTGTAAACATTTTTTTTATGTCAAAGCTAGCAGATAATATCAAACCATCCTGCATCTTCTGCAACTTGCGGTCGAGCTTGTCGATATGCTCCTCATCTTCACAATACTTTTCAGATTAAAATGACATGTTGCCGGAAGCCGCCACAACGGTCCGTTAATTGCTTTGGACACCGACTTGCATGCTTGGACACTCGGCTCAGAGTATGAAGGCTCGATAGACCGCCATCTACTGGTGTCCTTGTGCTTGGGAATTTCAAAAACAGATCCTAAAACACCTCGGTTGTTCCATGGCGCAATTTTTTGAAAGTCTAAATGGCGATAACTTTCCTTCCATACGTCCAAAATTTCCTGTTGAGTTCGGTTATCAATCACAAAGCCATCACTTCCCCAATATAGGTTCTTGAGAGCACTATGATAGATCAGCGCACAGCAAACGTAGGAATCGCCTATGTTATGGTCAACAAGAGAAATAACCAAACCTTTTAGTCTATGTTTCCATTCCCCTACCAGATCTTCATCAGTCATCTCTGAATCGGAGGTATGGACGAAACAGGATTCAAGGTTTTTAAAACTACCCACCCAATTCTCCTTACTAGGAACCTTGGCCAGGCCCTCCATAAGTGACTTCTTCAGCCTCCCGACAGAAGTAGAGAGTTGAAGACGAGGAATATTTTTACTATTTCGTAACAGAAGAGGGACTGGAAATTCGAAAAAACGAAAGGAAACATGTCCATCCTTGTTCCAAGGAAGCTCTTCATCACATTCAGAACACGAGCATTCATACACAGACGAACGTGCGCACGCCCGGTGGTTGTGCAGCCGATCAGACACAGACTTACAACTAGTCCAGACAATCCTCATTCTTGAAATGATAAATTCAGCTAGAACATCGTTAAGGCAGCGCTTTCGAACAATCCGTGCAGCCAGTTCCGACACTCGACACTTTCGGATATGATCATCGAAGGTAACCTTCACTACAACAGGGGCCAAACATCTGAAACCACTGGCAGACGTAAGGGTTCTTCCCACCACACCTCTTAAGATGGTCCTGGAACGCTCATTGTGAAAGAGACCAATGCTATTTTAAAGCATGACCAGACTTGTCAAACCATTTTTATACAGCCCTGCCCTGGAATGAGGAACCTGCAGCAGTGTGGCCAACATGTCCCGCCGGAGGATACGGAGACTGCTCTTTCTCCGCAGGTTCAGGACACAGAACACACCGCCTGAAAGAAAATATGACTTAAGTTCCTTCAGAACCTTCTTCTGTCCATCAACCTCAATGATAGACCAGCCAAACAAACGGCGCAACTTACAAAAGGAATAAAAAAAACAATCCCCGCCTGAGCATATAATGTTGATGTGCAGACAACCATCATCATACAATTTATTTAAAACATCCACAATAGAGAAAGAGGGGAGCGAGGGATCCAAGGATCGGGAACTGGAAGGGAAACAGAACACACATCCCATGTAAAAATCCTTCCTCCAGGTGAGCCATGTCTTACAAAACCAGCCTTTGCTTTTTGGAAGGCGATCCGTTCCCTCCGACCCTTCCTCCGACACGGGGACCTCTTCTTTTTTACGCAATTTAACACAGGGGACCACTTAGCGATGAGGGAAGACTCCACGTTACGAATCTCTATCTCAGGGGGAAAGGAAATCGGAATGGCAACGTAACTAGACCTACCCACCCGTTGAAACCACTTCCTTACCTTATGATTCCTGCCATCCCTTGATTGTAACGACCTTCTAACATGCTCCTCCCACCTCACCTTCAGAGATCGTGACGTAGAACCTATATAGGATGCTTTATACCATGGAGAAAGCAGGACGTACACACAAGGACCATCATACCCAAATATATCGATCTTGCTACCCAAAGATTCTTTCCAAAAATCTCCAAACTTATCTCCCCAACGTAGGTGACCGGAAAGAACGAGGGATACTACGAGAAAAACCATTAATTGGTGCAGATCGAATGCTTCCTTACCATGCCAACCGATCCTCTTCCGCTCAGATCTAGCTCTTTCGAGAGAAGCCCAGGAGGAACGGACGTCAACAGATCATTACGAAGGGTTCTCTTCTTGAACATCCTCCTCAGAGTCTTCCTCCTCCTCCTCATCCTCGTACTCGCCATAGGCCTCCACAGCACGCAGACATGCCAGCGCAGCGCTGGTAATCTTCTTGTTCACATACTTAATCTTATCCTTCTTGCAGAGCTCTTCAAGCTCGTGTTTAGTTTTCCCAAACAGCACTTTGGTCAACTCCTTAATGTATTTCCTCCTTCCTTCCTTGCCAGGGCCGGCAACCACTGCCTTCTTTCCACGGTTAATTCGATCAAACCCCATTTCTTGCTGGGGTGGTTCATCTCTAATCGTAACGCCAGACGTACGCCTTTTGCCGCCATTCCCAGCCACATAGGCAAACATCCTTGCTAGCCAGGCTGAGAATCTGCTTGAGGGGGTCTCGGAATGGTCCATTCGGACCCTAGAGGGACCAGGTTTCGTTGCTGCCGTTCGTCTAGTAGGGGCAGGTGGAGGAGGATTGGATGGAGTGGTAGTGGGAACAGGTGAACCATGGGCAGAAGGAGGGTTAGCAGGGGGAGGGGGAGGGGGAGGTTGGGAAGCAGATGGTTGCGAAGCTGTTGGTTGGGAAGCGGGGATAGGAGGTGGAGGGACTGGAGGAGGATGGTAGATTGGAGGGGCAGGAGCGCTGGAAGCGGCAGCAGGTGGGTTGACATTCGGAAAAGGAGGCACGCCTTGTGCCTGAAACTGAGGAGAAATCTCGTTAGCGGCCAGAACCGCTTCTTGCTGCTTGATAGCTTCGAGGCATCCTAACATCTGCTGGAACATACATGATTGCGCTTCTTGCGCTTTCCTAACACCGTCAATATCCATTCTAAGCAGGCCAGTGTTGAGAGGGGTAGTTCCATTCTCAACCCTTGGCCTCCCACTACCTTGCTGCAGGGAGGAATTCCCATTGCCAGCCATAGCACCTTGATCGCGCTTCTTGTTCTCACTCCCTTCGCCCATTTTCTTTGCTTCACCCTCCTGTGCAGCAGGATCAATCTTCTCCCAATTCGTCTTGCTTGTGTCAAATGTACCATCCTTCTTTTTGTTGGCTTCCATAGCCTCCATCTGCTCTCGGAAGATTCTAGCCAATTTCGCCTCATGATCGGCTTCCCTCTTCTCCTCCTCCTCTAGTCTTTTTTTCTCTTCCTCCCGTGCTTGCCTCGCCTGTTCTTCCCTCATCCTACGGTCATCTTCTTCCCGCCTCCTTTCTCTCTCTTTCCGCCGGTCGTTCCACATCTCTCGTAAGATCTGCATCGCCTCACCCTCACTCGGCTGCTGCGGGCGATTGTTCCAAACTCGAGGAGCGTTCCCCCCATTGAAGCGAGGGGGTTGGTAAGGGATGATGGCGTTGGAGACCGCGGAAGCTGGAGCAGGTCCCTGCAGAATCGGTGGTTGCACGTTCGAAGAAGACGCTTGCAGCGCAGGAGCCTGCTGGAGTGGTTGAAGTGGAGGCAGCGGCGGCGGTAGTATCGGACGCCCCTGCACGTACCCATCATTGCGCTGTCCACCTCCGTTACCCTGCGCGTATCCGTCGTTCCTTGGAGCACCTCCATACCCATTGTTGCGTGGAAAGGGACACCATCGAGCAAAATGTCCCAAAAGGCTGCAGTTGTAACAGTTACGATTCGGTGCGCCTCCTTGTCCACCATCCGCCATAATTCTGAGAGTTCCTAGCAAACACAAATACGACAGACTAAGTTAGCTCCCAAATACCTCGTAATAAACCTGGAGAATCTATATAAAGATGCTACGGAATGGGAGTAAAGGAAGGAGGGAAAACAGTAGGGAGAGAAGGAGGAAGAAAAAAGGAAAAGGATGGGAAAAAATAAAAATGTTGCGGAAAGGGAGTAAAGGAAGGAGGAAGACAGTAGGGAGAGAGAGAGGAAAGAGAGGAAAGATGGGAAAAAAGAGGGGCATAACTCGTTGCGAATGCGCATAACCTCGTGCTGCTATGATCTATAACATCGCACGTGCTTTCTTTTACCTAAAGAAGCCACGTGTCCACCATTCTGCGAATAGCGCGGTGGTTAAAACGTTAATCCAAGGTAGGAATGATACGGTGAACCAAATGAGCAGGGCTCGTGATGGTTGAACCACCGAAATCAGATCACACAGATTAGCATTCACAAATCGAAGTACAGCCAGCGAGCGAGCGAGCGAGCAAGAGAGAGAAAAGAGAGAGAGAGAGAGAGAGAGAGAGAGAGAGAGAGAGAGAGAGAGAGAGAGAGAGAGAGAGAGA